CGGAATTCCGTACCGGAATTACTTACTTCAGCGAGAGGATAATCTTCGGACAGAACACCAAGCGTAAGGGTGAGGGCGAAAAGTGATTCCGCTATGGAATTCCGGGAATTGAGTCGAGACGGAATTACATGGAATCAGAGGGAATTGCACGGAATTCCTAGGAATTCCGTCCGATTCCGGAATTCCGGGAATTGAGTGGAGATTGTATCCCCACTAACTGCGGAATTGGAATCAATTCCCGAAATTCCGGAATCGGACGGAATTCCGTCCAATTCCGTGCGATTCCGTCTCGACTGAATTCCCGGAATTCCGCGCCGGAATTACTTACTTATGCGAGAGGATAATCTTCTGTCACAACACCTTGTGTGAGGGTGAGGGGAAAAGTGATTCCGCTACGGAATTCCGGGAATTGAGTCGAGGCGGAATTACACGGAATCGGACGGAATTGCACGGAATTTCAGGGAATTCCGTCCGATTCCGGGAATTGAGTGGAGGTTGTATCCCCACCAACCCCGGAATTGGAATCAATTCCAGGAATTCCGGAATCGGACAAAATTCGTAGGAATTCTTGGAAATTCCGTCCAATTCCGTGCGATTCCATCTCGACTCAATTCCCGGAATTCCGTGCCGGAATTACTTACTTATGCGATAGGATAATCTACAGTCGCATCACCATGCGTGAGGGTGAGGGGAAAAGTGATTCCGCTATGGAATCACGGGAATTGAGTCGAGGCGGAATTACACGGAATCGGACGGAATTGCACGGAATTCCAGGGAATTCCGGGAATTGAGTCGAGGCGGAATTACACGGAATCGGAAGGAATTGCACGGAATTCCAGAGAATTCCGTCCGATTCAGGGAATTGAGTGGTGGTTGTATCCTCACCAACTCCAGAATTGGAATCAATTCCAGGAATTCCGGAATTGGACGAAATTCCTAGGAATTCCGTCCAATTCCGTGCGATTCCGTCTCGACTCAATTCCCGGAATTCCGTTTATCAGTTGCATGCATACACTGGAAGTGAGCAATGGTGTTAATACAACGAATAAATGATTCCGGAATCGAACGGAATTACATGGAATTGCATGCAATTCCGTCCAATACCTCCTTTATGCGATTCCCGGAATGCCGTTTGGGAATTGCATGGATACAGTCGAAGTGAGCTATGGTATTAATGCAAGGAATAAATGATTCCGGAATCGAACGTAGTTACATGGAATTGCATGCAATTCCGTCGAATTCCTCCTTCAAGCGATTTCCGGAATTCCGTTTGGGAATTGCATGGATACACTAGAAGTGAACTATGGTATTAATGCAACGTATATATGATTCCGGAATATAACGGAATTACATGGAATTTGAAGCAATTCGGGCTAATTCGCTGCGATTCCTGCTTGATGGAATTCCCGGAGTTTCGGAATTAGATGGTATTATTGGAAATGATTCCGGAATTGTTGGGAAATGGTTGATTTGATTCCGGAATTGGATTGAGGTCTGTGTGAGCGGAATTGCGGAATTGGATGGAATCGATTCCGGGGCGGAACTGATTCCAGCAATGTGCAACATCGCGGAATAGGATGTATTCTCTCTTGCTCAACAATATAAATCATAGCATCAATAATTTTGTAAAAAAATTATTTTAAGAATCTTTGCAGATGGTTTAAATTGTTGACTTTGTAACAATTTTATAAGATTGTCATGTGGAGCAGGTCCTTGTATTAACATTGTCGATCGAGGATCATTTTTTACTAATCCAAAGGTATGAACAATATGTTTATGAGAGCTAAGCTCAAGATGAAATGAAGCGTCATGTTCAGCTCTTTCTGTATTTATTACAATTAATATAATCGATGATTTATTCTTTCTTATCCATTCTGCATTATAATATATGTGCCCATATCTACCATATAATCGATCGTTCATTTTGACATCAATACCGAGTACATATTGAAAGTGTGACCTTTGAAATAAAAATAAAAAATCATATTATTGACAATAACAGTAATTTATTGTCTTAGTTTAGTTGTATACACTCGATGTACTTACGCAAGATCAAAACACTTTTTAATAATAGGCCAAATTTGTCTATCACACATCCATGGCCTCGGTAATATTTCATCATTTAACTTTTTTTGTCGAATTTCTTTGTTCGATATCGAAGAGCCATAAGGAAGTTGTCCTTGTGAACAAGCTTCCCGCATTAATACTCTCATGGAATAAATCTCAGATAATTCGGAATAATACAATCGACCTGCACTTTGAAGAATTTCAGGTGCACAATATTCTACTGGAATAATTAATCTTCTATCTTCCAATAATGATGGTTCATTTGGTCTTGCTAAAGCAAAATTCGTTAATTTAACAAAGTTTTCTTTAGGTTTCGATGCATCCATTTGAAAGACAAGAATGTTCAAGCAACGTAAATCACCATGTATCATGCCTTGGCTAACGACATAAGTCATTGCATCAATGATCTGTAAGAAAATAGAAATGAGTACCATTGATGTTGGTTCGAATAAATTGTTTTTTAGTAATTTTTGAAGATGACCGTGAGGTGCTCGTTCTTGCAGTAACATAATCGATCGAAAACTATTTTCAACAAATCCGAATGTATTGATGATATGTGGATGCTTGAGGGTGTGGGTGTGGGTGTATGGGGTGTGGGTGCGGGGTGGTGTG